GATTTGGTTTAAAAGATAGAAATTGCTGTCAGATGGAAAACTGTCATCAGAATCGGGGAGGGGTGAGGATAATTGTCTCTCCCACCCCAACTGTGTGACATGGGGCTGGTAGCGAATTACTTCACTAGTGCAACATCTGGTTTGACTGAAGCATGTGTGTATATATATATATATATATATATATATATATATATATATGCTATCTATCTATCTATCTATCTATCTATCTATCTATCTATCTATCTATCGATATATAGATATATAGATAGCATAGAGATATATATGCTATATCCCAAGGGAATAAACCATTGTGCCCATGGCTGTTGCTCCTATTAGCCAGAATCCTGTTATGGCAATATACTAGCATAAATATACAAGTATTGGAGGCGTTGCTGGAGTACATCTGCTTTGGATGAAGTAAGGTACTAGAGAGGTTGGCTGCTCAGAGCTAGCAAATTTAATCTGCTCTCTTTTACCATCACCACTTAACCCTAGATAAATTGTAGCCACTAGCAGGGCATACTAAAGGGATTCTGGTACATTTTCTAAGATGTTAGTTTTGTCAATGATTTACTGTAACATGTTCTACTTTGAAGAGTGTTCAGAAACTTTAGCTGGTCCAGAGTTCTGCAACCAGATTGTTAACTGGCACAAAACCTCCTTGTTGCAATAGCTCCACTGGCTACTTGTGTGATTCTGTGCACAATTCAAAGTGCTGGCTTTGATCTGTAAAGCCATGTATAGCCAGAAAGAAAATGCCTGAACCTGAATGTACTTCTTAAACATTCAGGTACATCATTCACCCTTTTTCTCTTGCTGACTCACAAGCAACTTGTTCAGTTGAGCCATCTGCAAATGGTTACTCACTCTTACTCATGATCTTCCTTTACTATTGAGGCAGTGCAAGAGCCAGTCCTCTTGATTGGCATGCCTGGGCATTGGCAATCTCAGCTTGTTGTACTCTATTTAACCTCAGCAGATAAAAAGTACTTAGCTCCATAAGGCTAGAGTTTTCCCTGCAGTTATTGTGCTTTCATCTATAATAATAATAATAATAATAATAATCATCATCATCATCATCATCATCATCATTATAAGCATTCTATACACATCTTTAAAACATATTTCCATCAAAATACATATTAAAATAAACAGAAGATTAAAATTCATTATTAAAACTGACTGTGTAGGCTTGCTGGAAGAGATAACTCTTCTGATGTGTTTAAATTCAGACAGCTTATTTAGCTGTCAGAACTCTCCCATCAGGTCATTCCACAGTCTTGGGGCAGCTGATGAAAAGGTCCTCTGGGTGATGGTCACCAGTTGAGTTCTGTCTGGTTGAAGTAAGCCAAGTGGACCTAAGTGTCCTAAAGAGTGAATTGTGCAGAAGGAAGTCCTGTAGGTAACCTGGACCCAAACCATGTAGGGCTTTCAAAACCAACACCTATGACAGGATGATGAAACTGAAGTCCAAAAGAAGGCAAATACACCTGGTGGTTGTCCAATCCGAATGGTTATGAAACTATGGTAATATCACTTGCAGTATTACTTAAAAGTTCTAAAATTTTGCTTCTTAAACAAAGGGTCCTGTAAGAGGGAATGGGAGTTGTGAAAAATTGGCAGTGGAAAAAGGTTTCGGAACACTACCTAGACATTTGCATGAATCTGTTAGTAACTGTGTGGAGTGTTTACAATGGACTCTAAAGCAAATGCTTCCACTGTACTTCATACAAAGGAAAATCAACCTGGTTAGCCAGCCTTGCAAATGCTGAATTATTATCAATCGATATTTGATTTGTGTACTTATTATATATACCATTATACTCCGAGTCACACAAAAAATTATCCGACAGAAAGGTCACAAATGGAAAAAGTTTAAGAAGCCTTGTTCTAGAAGACCCCAATGTATTGGTCTAATGAGAGAAAGAGAGATTAATACAGAATTCTACTGTCTCTATTCTTCCTACTTACTGTTGACATCTGGCTCAATAATTGTGCAAGTATCAATTTGGTGTTGTATCTTCCCTATTAATTATATATTGTTTTATTATTTATTTATTTATTTATGGCATTTATATGTCGTCTTTCTCACCCCGAAGGGGACTCAGAGCGGCTTACAAAATATACATAAATAGAATATATTATATTATTACCATAGTACAATATCAGTATTAAATATTATATTGTAATATTAAAAGAGGTAAAGGTTGTCCCTTGACATTAAGTCCAGTCATGTCCAACTCTGGGGTGTGGCGCCAATCCCAACCTCCAAGCCGAAGAGCCAGCACCGTCCACAGACACCTCCAAGGTCATGTGGCCAGCATGACTGCATTATTATTATTAGTAGTAGTAATATTACTTTGAGTTGCCCAAGGGCTGAGAAAAGCGCTATATAAATATAGTAAATAGTAAATAAATAAATAAATGTAATATAAACATATAATAATATCATATTATTATTATTATTAGTAGTAGTAGTAGTAGTAGTATTAGTATTATATTGCATTACATTATAATAATGGGAGCTGCTGAGCTTGATGACCGAAAGGTTACAGGTTCGAATCTGGGGAGTGGGGTGAGCTCCTGCTGTCAGCCCCAGCACTAGTATATATGCCTGCCATTGCTCAGGTGTCAGAGGGGTGGCTGTCCCATGTTTTTGTCCTTTCTTCCCCCCCCCCCCACCTTCATTCTCTTCTTTTCTCTTTCCCCCTTTTCTTTCTCTTCCTTTCTTCCCTCCTTTTTCTTTGTTCCTCCTCCTTCCCTCCCTTTTCTTTTTTTTCTTCATGTTTTTTCTTTCTGTTTTATGTAATTATGTTGCTGTTTATTGTTCGTGTTTTTGGTTTGTGTTTTCGGTTTTACTCTATTGTAATTTGTTGTTTGGGCTTGGCCTCATGTAAGCCGCTCCGAATCCCCATTGGGGAGATGGTGGCAGGGCATAAATAAAGATGATGATGATGATGATTATTATTATTATCTTTTGTTTGTTTTTTTATTCATTCATTAATTCATTCCATCGTTCCCTTCCTCTTTCTGCCTTCTCCAACTCTGAGATGGTCTAGCTCACAATGTCCTTTATGGCTCCTTCCTTCCTCCCTCCCTTCTGCAGATGTCACCATTCTTTGCCAATTACATCACAGAGGGCCACTTCACCTAGCAACAGCCAATCCAGTAACATCACAGAGGGCCACTTCACCTAGTAACAGCCAATCTTTTACCGAGCAACAGCCAATCCAGTAACATCACAGCAGGCCACTTCACCTAGCAACAGCCAATCTTTTACCGAGCAACAGCCAATCCAGTAACATCACAGCAGGCCACTTCACCTAGCAACAGCCAATCTTTTACCAAGCAACAGCCAATCCAGTAACATCACAGAGGGCCACTTCACCTAGCAACAGCCAATCTTTTACCGAGCAACAGCCAATCCAGTAACATCACAGAGGGCCACTTCACCTAGTAACAGCCAATCTTTTACCGAGCAACAGCCAATCCAGTAACATCACAGCAGGCCACTTCACCTAGCAACAGCCAATCTTTTACCAAGCAACAGCCAATCCAGTAACATCACAGCAGGCCACTTCACCTAGCAACAGCCAATCTTTTACCGAGCAACAGCCAATCCAGTAACATCACAGCAGGCCACTTCACCTAGCAACAGCCAATCTTTTACCAAGCAACAGCCAATCCAGTAACATCACAGAGGGCCACTTCACCTAGCAACAGCCAATCCAGTAACATCACAGAGGGCCACTTCACCTAGCAACAGCCAATCTTTTACCGAGCAACAGCCAATCCAGTAACATCACAGAGGGCCACTTCACCTAGCAACAGCCAATCTTTTACCGAGCAACAGCCAATCCAGTAACATCACAGAGGGCCACTTCACCTAGCAACAGCCAATCTTTTACCGAGCAACAGCCAATCCAGTAACATCACAGAGGGCCACTTCACCTAGTAACAGCCAATCTTTTACCGAGCAACAGCCAATCCAGTAACATCACAGCAGGCCACTTCACCTAGCAACAGCCAATCTTTTACCAAGCAACAGCCAATCCAGTAACATCACAGCAGGCCACTTCACCTAGCAACAGCCAATCTTTTACCAAGCAACAGCCAATCCAGTAACATCACAGCAGGCCACTTCACCTAGCAACAGCCAATCTTTTACCAAGCAACAGCCAATCCAGTAACATCACAGAGGGCCACTTCACCTAGCAACAGCCAATCTTTTACCAAGCAACAGCCAATCCAGTAACATCACAGCAGGCCACTTCACCTAGCAACAGCCAATCTTTTACCAAGCAACAGCCAATCCAGTAACATCACAGAGGGCCACTTCACCTAGCAACAGCCAATCCAGTAACATCACAGAGGCCACTTCACCTAGCAACAGCCAATCTTTTACCAAGCAACAGCCAATCCAGTAACATCACAGAGGGCCACTTCACCAAGCCTTTGTGGTACAACCAGACAGGCATACTTTGATTTTGTATATATATAGATAGAGACTATCTCTGCTCTATCCTCAACATTATTATCGATTATGGTGGCATTTAATACAGATAATGATACATTTGGATTATGTTAGCCCTGCCCATAAACCACAATTATGTGAGCCATTTTTAAAAATCATTGGAGGACAGTCCAATAGGAGACCGCGCTGCAAAAGTCTTATTGAACAAATGACAGGCAGCTCCATTTAATTTCAATAGGACTTGTTCAGGAGAGCCTCCCGCTAAAATAGTCCCACTGCTTTACCTGAAAGAAATGCAGTTTGGTCAAAATCTGGAGGTTCAATACGAAATGGCGAACAATAGAAAAGAAAGCCCGTAGGAATTCCAAGTTTTATTGCAATGCTTAAATCAAATCCTGCCCAGCTGGAGAAGTGTGAGACAATGTGCTGGAAAGAGACAGGAGGCAAACTATTTTCGGCCATGCTTTAGTGAGACATTCAGGGCCTAATGCAGGCGAAGAGGGGGTGTGAAGCACAGTGGGTGAGATTGACAAGATGCCTGTGCAAAATGACAGGGGCCTCTTACTAAAAGTGGAATCAGAAGGGCTGGTGGGAGTTTGCCCAGCAGCTGGAGGTCTAGAAACACATGGAGCACCGCTGAAGCTGGACTGAGTTCTCCTGCGCCTGAGCTCAAGTCTGGGGAGGAAGGGGCTTTGGGGAAGACTGAAGAAGGCAGGTGCTCCTTGCAGCAATGGAAGCAGAAAGCACCATCCCTTAAGAGTGGGAGCTTGAACATTTCTCACGCAAAAGAAAGAAAGAAAACCTGCTCAAGTCATGGGAGCTGAAGAAGAAGAAGTGGTTGTCACTCTTTCTGGAGGGGCTCCTTGGGGATTTCGGCTGCAGGGGGGCTCGGAGCAGAAGAAGCCCCTTCAAGTATCAAAGGTAGGAAAAGCACATGTTCTCTTTCTCTCTGTGAAAACAGAGGTTGGGATGGGTGCATTAATGTGCGCCAGGAGAACTGTTTTCAAGACATACACATCTGCAAACTACAAAACATTTACATGTAACGTAAGGGGTTGTATTTCCCAAATGAAACATGATGATGATGTTGATGATATAGATTTCTATCTCATTTTTCCAGTTTGAGACTTAAAACAATATAGTTAAAAATCCACAAAATCCACAATCTGAACTGTGATAAAGTGTTAAAAAATTAAAACTAGATTAAAGCATTTATAATTCAAATGCACACACATTTATTTATTTAGTTACAGTATTTATATACCGCTTTTCTCACCCTGGGGGGGGGGGGGGACTCAAAGTGGTGTATACAGAAATAGTGACAAAATTCAATGCCTTACAAACGTACACTAAATTACAATCAATACCATAACAAAGTATACCAGCACAACGATTAGCGAGATCCAGTACATTATTCAGTGAGATAGGCCTTATATGCTTAATCATCAAAAGCCTGTATAGACAGAAAAGTCTACTTCTCTGTAAAAAGAAAATAAAGGGATTGGCTTTCATGACAAAGTAGATAATGAGTAATTTGTAAGCTTCACCTGGCTCCTTTGGCAGCCTTTTTAGCCATTTTTATATTAGAGGGTTTGTGGTTTTTTGTTTTGGTTGGGGGGGGATTGTTTTTGCTTTGTTTGTGCTTTATTTATGATTTCTAGTCTTGATTATTGCATTGATACATTTGAAATGTTATTGTTTAAGGAGTGAAAACAAAACGAGAAAAAACTTGTATTGAGTTGTCAAAGGCTTTCATGGCCAGAATCACTGGGTAGCTGTGAGTTTTCTGGGCTGTGTTGCCATGTTCCATTCTCTACTGACATTTCATCCACATCTGTGGCAGGCATCCTCAGAGGTTATGAGATCTGTTAGAAATTAGGCACTGGGTTTATATATCTGTGGAATGAAGTTGGCCACATTGATTAGCAGCTTCAAAGTCTGGCTGCTTCCTGCCTGGGGTAATCCTTTGTTGGGAGGTGTTAGCTGACCCTGATGGTTTCATGTCAGGAATTCCCCTGTTTTTCTTCCAGCCTGGACATTCCACAGATATATAAACCCCACTTGCCTAGTTTCCATCAGACCTCACAACCTCTGAGGATGCCTGCCATAAATGTGGACAAAATGTCAGGAGAGAATGCTTCTGGAACATGACCATACAGCCACAGTAGCCCAACTTGTATTGAGTTAGAATTATTTGCAGATGCAACATTTCAAAATGGCTTTCTAAAATTGACTAAAAACATTTAAGCTGATTACGTAGATTTTCCAGTTAATAGGGAAGCAGAGCAAGATCTTGGAAGTTGTACTCTATGGTTACAATACAAATACCTTGTCAAATTGCAGATGGCACTGTAAAATAAACATTCTTCCTTTGCTGTCACATGGATGGGATGAGATGCATTTTTAAGGTGATGCTTGCCTCCTGAGACAAAGGTATATACACCATCCAAATGTAAAGAAAGTGTGCTCTTACCTCTCAACTTTGACCCATGCACCAATTTATTCATCTTTTATTTTAAAATTCTACAATTGCTTACATAAAATACAGTTTTTTAGATCCAAGCAATTTGAAAACAAGAATGAGATAAACAACATGACTACGAAGCATGTATTTCCATTTGTTCATTCTAGATTGATGAAATTAAATTTGATGGTAATGAACATTGTCAAAGAAATTGTTAAGCTTTGCTTTGGGACATCCTCTAGAATTTAAATGCTCAGTTACAGACCAGCAGCAAGATCCCAGACAACAGGACTATACGTGCCTCATGGCCTATTATGGTTGCGCAAAAGAAGACACAATCTTTTTTCAGTGTACGATTCAATGCCAGTCTTAGACAAGCACCATTCTGTCATCACTTGAGTCAACATGAGCAAAACCATTCAACTGATATGATGCATGTCTGGAAAAATAACTGTTTCTCACTGCCTTTACGGAAAGCTATATCAATATGTCATCCATATATATGATCAACTTCTGCTAGACACTGAACATACAATTGCATTGGAGGGACCAGAGTTTCCTAGAGAAATGTTCTATCTAGGGTTTTCAGCAGAACTGGAAGAAGTTGACCACAGAGGCATAGTGGAAGACTAGAGATTCCTATAGGGAACATTTCCATTAAATCCACAGAAGTCGAAACAACAAAAGTAGAGCAGTGGCTAAATACAGGCTGAAGGAAAAGGTCACTGTGGGCCCTTCCAGTCAGGCCCTAAATTCCAGGATCTGATCCCAGGTTTTCTGCATTAAACTGGATCATATGAGTCTGCACTGCCAGACAATCTGGGATAAGCAGAAAACCTGGGATCAGAACCTGGGGCCTGTCTGGAAGGGTCCTGTCTCTTATTTGTGCAAGTTACTCATATCAGCTGCACTTGATTAATATCTATAATTTCCTCTAATTCTGGTAAAGTTAAGAAATGACTAATATTCAATTTAAATTGTATGTAAATTCTCTTTTAAATGAAACTAGTTGTGACAAACCTAAATTGAATGGGGTCATATCACCTACTTTATCATCTTCTGAGTAGAAAAGGTGTAACTGCCACTGATTTCTTTATACAAATACCCTATTGTTCTGTTAAATGTGTGTGTGTGTGTGTGTGTGTGTGTGTGTGTGTATATATATATATATATATATAGATAGATAGATAGATAGATAGATAGATAGTATGGATGAGAAAAGTGTGCCCCTCATTTTTGCGCCAGCCAAGCTTCTCAAGACACCTCCATAGTCCCTGAAGGTAAACAAAAATTGCCCATAGTTCAATAGTTTTACTATCTTTACTCCTAATCTGCACCAAACTATCTGAAAATTGGTCAGAATGCAAAGATGTTATACCTCATTCACATGTATTCCAGCATTTTAATTTGTCAAGGACAGTCCCAATTAAGCCCACTTTTCCAGCTGTTTCTAATGTGACCTAACTTTGCCTTCCAATTTCCGTCTTTTCCTCAGTTTACTTTAGTTGCAGCAAACTTAGCTGAAAGTACAAAAATAGTTTTCACTCAAGTAACTCATCAGGGAAAAGAGGAATCAGGGGTGCAGGACTTAGTGTTTATCTGCAGACTGAGGCAAAAGCAAAATGCTGCAGCTTCTTCTAGGTGATAGTTCTTCCTCACTTCCATCTTGGCCACATTTTGATGTCACTTGTGTCCTGATTTCCACCTATAAAACATTGGAGGATATGTTTCCGGTTGTGGAAAAACTACCTGTAGCTTGGAGTGCAAATTTGGGGAAGGCAAAAAAATTGAGCCAGCCACCTGTGCAGTTACCTACCCCGACCTATAGAGAACAGTACACCATAATTATACTACTATACAAAAATAATTAAAAATAATAATTTCTAGAAGCACTAACTGAAAGCAATAAAAATGGAAAAGTCAGTATAGTGGTTGAGTATGATGTCACTGAAAACAAAGAGAGCTGTCATGGTATTTTATTCTGTGAGATTCTATTACCTCCAGATTGTGCATGCACACTCAACAGCCTATATTATGCCATTATTTTGCCATCATCGCTGATGCCAACTTGTTTCCAAGACCATTTCAGTGTGCATTATAAAGCCCTTAAGGGATGAAATGCAAGTTTATTCGATGCTTAGACCATAGGTCTTTCGCATACAAGGCAAGGCAAATAAATAAATAAATAAATAAATAAATAAATAAATAAATAAATAAATACATGAACACCAGATTATTAAATACAATATAAAATACACAATAAAATCCTATAAATCATTAAAATGCTACATATATCGATGGCAAGATGCACCTTTAAAATACTACATAATGTATAGACTCATACCTGCGTAATTAAAAACCAAGTAAAAGCAAATAGATACAGCATTATTAAAACTACATAAACGTCCCTTAAGGGATGAAATAATCTGATGGCTGTCTGCTACTATGTATACCTACCTGAACCCTGTGATATGTTTTGGTGAAACATCTCCAGGTTTTCAACCTGATCAGCTTGAGTTGTAGGAGCCCCTGGTGGCGCAGTGGGTTAAACCCCTGTGCCAGCAGGACTGAAGACCGACAGGTTGCAGGTTCGAATCCGGGGAGAGCGCGGATGAGCTCTCTCTATCAGCTCCAGCTTCTCATGCGGGGACATGAGAGAAGACTCCCACAAGGATGGTAAAACATCAAAACATCTGGGCATCCCCTGGGCAACATCCTTGCAGACAGCTAATTCTCTCACCAGAAGCAACTTGCAGTTTCTCAAGTTGCTCCTGACACTACAAAAAAAAAAAAAAAAAAAGCCTGAGTTGTGAGTTTACACCTGAGTTATGATAAATGACTATAAGACATTTTCAGTCAAAATTCTTCAACAAAGACTTTTACCACATGTGGTACAACCAATGCCAGCTGTCCAAGTTGGGCTCAGGAAAGGAGGAAGCCCTAGAGATTATATTGGAAACATACATTGGATAATGGAGTGCGCTATAGAAGTTCAACAGAAAACCAGCCTGTCCTTATAGATTATAGCGAAGCCTTTAATTGCATATAACATGAAAAACTATGGATTGCTCTTAAAGAAATTGGTGTGCCACAACATTTAATTGTTCTGATGTGTAACCTGTACTTAGGAGTAGAGATTACTGCTAGGATAGAATAAAGAGAAACTGAATGGTTTCTCTCTGGAGAAGGCATAAGGCAAGCCTGTATTATATCATTCTGTCTGTTTAATTTGTATGCTGAGCATATCAAGTGTAAAACAGGATTCAATTTGGAAATAGGAGACATGAAAATTGGAAAATGGAACACCAGTAATTTAAGATATGCAGATGACTCCATTCTGCTAGCAGAACATAGCAAAGACTTGGAACAATAATTTAAAAATAGTTAATGAAGAAAGACATTTTTCAGACAGCAAAGATTATTTTTATATCATGAAAAGACCATGAAGACATTGAAA